GCGTCGGCAGAAGAAGAGCGAAGAGGAGAAAGAGTGAAGTCAGACAACAGTACAGGAACGTACGGATATCCTAGGCAAGGCGCTCGGCGAGGGTGTCGGTGGTGGATTAGAAAAACGGGAGACGTTAGCAGTCCGACTTCGTGAAAACCGGAGCGGAGCTCCCTATGGAGTTTTCGGTTCCGTGAGGCAGAGAGATAAGCCAAAGCAAGCTTATCTCCACGGAAAATTGACGCAGAGCAGACCGGATGCGGCCAGAGAAGGGCCCAAGTCGACACGCTGCCGAGACGCACGTGGCCGCTATCAATCCTAGCGCCGCAAGAAGAATACGATTGGCTCATTACCTAGCGCGAAGAACAGCGCGAGGCACCGAGAGTAATTTCCGAAAGAGCTGGCTTCATTGTTGTGCGTGTCGTGGTTCCCGCGAGTTGACCGCCTCCTGCAAGTGCCGTGTCCCGGTGCTGTGTTGTGGTGCCGAACAGGATTCGAGGAGGATCAGCGGGAAAGAAACAAACAAAAAGCTAACTTCAACCGGACGAGGGTCGGAGAGTCGGTGCCGTTTTGATACGAGATTCGAGCGGAGTCGACAACGTAAGTGACTGCTCGCTCTCTCTCTCTCGCATTTTCAGTGTAACGGAGCCGATTTTCTATCGGCTTCGCCCGGCCTTCCGCCTGCCGGACAGCTCGGTCGGTGCCAAGGTTCGGGGGAGAGGAAGGCAAAGAAATTGCGACACTCAGGTTTATGGTTTATGCTTAAATGTATCGCTGGTTTATTAACTTCTAAACGGTATGTATAACGGAGTTGACTTGATCGGCGCGGTAATTTCGGTGCGGATGATGTGGCGAGCGCGGAATAATTGACGCGGGTATTACTGTCGGCGCGGATAAGACGGATCTTGGCGCGGCGACTTATAGCTAGACTTAATTCTACTGGGAGTAATATGTACACGGGGCATATTTACAGGAAAGATGTTCCTGGCCGCAAAAACGGCCAGTTGAGTCGAGAGAACGACTGTTTCTTGATGTGCCGGTAACAACGGCCGATTGAATCTCCAGAGCTCGTGAAGCCGACGGAGATGAGGTGCGCCGGAGCGCCGGAGGCGATCGAGACAACGCCTCGATCGCGACGGTCAGGTAGTGTCTGAGACAACGCCTCTGACACCGGGTGAGTCGAGACAACGCCTCAACCGATTAGGATTCTAAGTCCGAGACAACGCCTCGCCTGGAAGGATCGCTCTCAAGACACTGCCTCAAGGCTCGGGAAAGGAACTGATCCCGACTGCCGAAATCGGCCGGCTTATATATCCCGGAGCAGCCTACGGTCCGTCCGGGGCTGGTGTGCGGTGCGCGCTTGTTTGAGCGCCGTGGCACGCACCCGTGTCGTGTCGCACTGGCACAGGATCCAGTGTCCTCCGCTGACTTTGGCCCGGTATCGCCGGACGGTCTGGATGATCCGGGTGGACACTTCTAAGGTCGCTCCCGGTACAGTGACCTCATAGGCCCGGTGTGCTCCGGGGTGGTGATAGCGGCGGTGTCGCAGGTTGGTTGATGGTAGGTGGCTGCCGTGTCCTCAGCAGGTGATTTTGGCCGACGGATACTGCTTTCTGGTTTGCGGCCCGGAACCGAAGTTGGTGACATCTTGGCTGGTTAACCATTCTCTTTCTGCAGGCTTCACTTGCAGTGGTGGTGTTACCTTTTTAATGTTACGCCGGGCAGTGGTCTTCTCCAGCCGGATGGAGAGAGGAGTGCGTAGACCGGCTTGGCCTATGGTTGTTGTGATGGCTGGCTTGGCAGGGCTCGCCGTGCGGTAGCCCTTACTAATGGCGGCTGTCGCGGGTGGCGGTGTGATGAGTACCGCGCGATGAGCCGGTGGTGTGGCTGGCTTTTGTGGTCTAGTGGGCCGTCGCACTGTCGGGTCTCCCTCTAAACGGCTGGCGGCTCGCTTGCGGACAGCTGTCCGGATATTCTCGGAGGTCAGCGTGGTCACTGGAAGTTGCGGGGGTGGGTCGCGGGGCAGTCGGCAACACTCTGCCAGCAGTAGTTAAGATATAGGGTTTCTGGTTAAAGTGTAGGCATCGCGGGGGTGAGGGGAGACGGGGGGTAACCGTGGGGGAGGGGAGGGGGTAAATGNTCAGCGAAAATATTCCAGTCACAGTCAGAAAGCTCGGAAAGGAAGTGGTTCCAGTTGAAGCAACTATAGTCTCTGACAGTGATCGTTCTAACATCACGTCTTCTAACAAGAATATTATAGGTTATTTCAATCAAATCATGAGAAGATAGAAAACACATCTTGTTGATTAAAAGTAACGATACTCTCACTGTCATCCACAATACACAAATCGAGAAAAGTTGCAGAAGAAGATGTATGGTGAGTAGGTGCGTAAGGCACTAAGTAAAGAGCAGAAGAGTTGATGAAATTAATTATTTGTTCGGAATCAAAATTTTTTGTTATTAAATTAGCATTAAAGTCACCAAAGATGATGGTGTGCCTGTACAATGCAAAGAGATTACAATACATATTAAAAAAGTCTTGTAGATGACCACAATGAGGAGGCCTGTATGCAACTGCAAGTAAAAGTTTCTCTTGAACAGCCGAAATTTCCGCAAACAAAAACTCTGGTTTCCTGCAATACAAACCATCGGAGGAAGCAAGTATCTTCACGTTTAACGAGTTAACAGCAAAGAAGGCAACTCCCCCACCGCCCTTGCCAATGCGGTCGCATCTGTGTAACTGATAACCTGATAGAGAGACCATCTGGTCTGTGATCGCAGGTTTGAGCCAGGTTTCTGATAGACAAATTATATGGTACTGTGACTTAACAAAGAAATCCCTGAACTCATCAATATGTGCCAGTAAAGATTGGCAGTTCACGTGACAGACTCGTAAGCAATCCAGAGTAGTTGAAGCATTAGCCATAATTGATATTTTTGATCTTTTCTTCCAAACGCTTTCTTAGGATCGGGCATGTTTTGCCATCTAACGCCGAGTGAGGCTGTTCTTCGTTCATCCATCTCTTGCAATTACCACATAGTGCAGTGCTATCTTTTTTAGGGCAGTCTTTCATCTCATGCGCTTCAGCGCAATGTCCACAGAGGGAAGCCGCAGAGCAGTTCTTCGAAATATGACCAAAAGCCAAACACTTGTAGCACTGCAAGACACGAACATAGTCTTCTAATCGACATGTAGAATAATTGATGTAGACATGTGAGCCTGTCAATAATTTCGCGCGTATGGCCGGGAACACCTCAATAATACAGCTGACGTATGCTCTATTTCTTTTCGGTGGGAAAATGTAAATAACATCCACATCAGTATCGATCGTCCTGTCCAAATTAAGAGCAATCAGCTCAGTCTTTAGATCTTCCCTGGACATGTCGACAGGAACATCATGTAAGATCAATCTAGGTCTTAGCTTTGTGAACTGCTTGATCTCTAAACCGGCCTTATCCAATTCCTTAGAGTTTTTAATTTTATCAATGTCACCTGAAAACGCCTCAATACGTACTCCCTTGTTCCGAGTTGACATAATTCGGTTAACTTTTAAGTTAAAATCTACAGGCTTTATAATTTTTTTAAAAGTCTCCTTGGTTTCCTTAGATGAGGCAAATTTTTCCTGAGTATCTTTTTTAGGTATAACTAAAATATTAGTTGATTTTTTGACCGGTATAGCAGGACCGCGTGCTATCTTTATTGCCGAAACTGATGCCCTAGTAACTGAAGCGTAAGAGCGAGGAGTACCAGAACCTGTATCGTGGTTTTCACGCGACGATTCCACATTAAATTGCGATAGCGCCTGTGTTATAATGTTTTTGACCGATTCAGGCGATAAGGAGTCATTCTTTCTCTCCTCAAGCAAGTAGAGATATAGCGTAGACAGCTCAAAAAATGCTTCCTTGCAGGACCTAAAGGCGGATTCGATCTGAAATCTTCTATCAGATGAATCCTTACTGGTCAAGAGCAACCTTGAGACCGCATTAGCATGTTCACTAATTGAACGCCGCATCGCATGCACTCTCGACACATTCATATCAATACCAGAAGAAGACCCGCACGGACCCACTGCAGATTGGAGAGACGAAGATGAATGCTGCCGCCGCATACCTCCCGCCGCGCTGGAGCTGTCATCGAGACCGGCATAAGGCGGGGGGGAATGTTTCACAGACATCTTGGAAAGCAGCCTTAATTCTCAGATTCGCGACGAGGCTCCCCACTCCAAGGAGCGCAGGCGCACCTGCTGATTTTGACAGGTAACCGTCAACGCTTTCTCGAAAGATCCACACAGATACCAGTCGGAAAACTCCCGCAAAAATTCACTCCAATGGTCCACCAAAGAAGGAAGACTGATGAAAATAGGCAAAAAAAAGCTAGCCAAATCCTTCTGCAAAAAATAAAGGGCCCGAAGGCCAGAAAGCGGCAGAAAAAGCACTTAAAAGACAGA